CGGCCCAGGTCAAGTCATTCTTACTAAAGTGTGTGTCATTTTGGTTTTGGCCCCATAACCAGTTTATTCTGCGGTGGATTTGTGAGACTATTGCATTATGCTTCTCAATTCTCCTTTTGCTGAGAAACAGCCTATTGTAGTAATTATCACATTTAAAAAGATGGGAAAATGTGTCTTTTCATCCCAAATTTTGGGTCACACCATCCAAAACATTCCAAAGTTTAAGAACATGCCATTTACATCCCAAGCTTTTTAAAAACATGTTACATTAGGATATTCGTTAAATTTTTAACTTTAATTAATTAATTAGTGGTGTTACTTTATTCTATTTCTCCTCCCCTAATTCTTTTAATCATTTAACACGTTCCACTAACTCCTACCTTATAAGAAAACAGCTAAACTTAATTTGGTTTTCACATCATCCATTCTTCCCTTGCTTAGAAAAAGAAAAAAAAAATCCAAGATTTACCTTCTAGATTGATAACAATCATGAGAGGTTTTGTGTGTGTCCTAATTAGAAAGTAAGCCCTATTTTATTTATTTTTTAAAATATGTAGTATCATTATGAAAATTGGTGTTGTAATTGATGCAAGGTCATGCAACTTTTTTGTTTGGCATGGACCAAATTTATCAAACGCAAGCATGAAACTTTTTTTACTAAAAAAAAATGAGGGAAAAGAAACTGAATGAAATATCGCCGTTAATAACTTGAAAAAATTAATAAATGTCCTAATGTTACATTTTTTGAAAAGTTTGGAATGAAAATGACATGTTTTTAAACTTTGAAATATTTTAGATGTTGTGGCTCAAACCTTTGGATGAAAAGGTTCATTCTTCCTTAAAAAGATTCGAAATTTCGTGTAATATATACCAACTGCTGAACAGATATTCGCCGTAATGTATTCGTAATTCTTACATAAATGTGTTGATACTAGTCATAATGTATTGATTGATAGTACCATGGTTCGCAACATTGCCCGCCATTTCTTTCCGAGCAGAGCAGCTATATTAGGATCACATTAGGTGTGACTTAGGAATATCAATATTTAGTGTACACTAATGATGCTTTAATAATCGTAACAAATAAATTGATGCTTATTGCTTCACTAGTAATCTTATTCAGTGGAACAATATAACACAGCCTTGACGTTTCAAAAATACTGACATGAATAAATTCCTATCATAATAAGACTAATAATACCGACACATAAAAAAATAATAAAATCCGGTAAATGGAAGATCAAGTTGATCCCACACAGTCTTCAATGTTCAAGACATGGTCAAATTAGGATAGAACGGAACTCCGGTCGCCGGAATCCAGGCATTCCCCTGAATGAAGTTCCCGACGGTGAACTGGCTGGCTTCGGAGGCATTTCTGATGACCCGATAACCCGGCCAATCCACTCTAGCACTCGTATTCGACCCGGCTCCTCTGTTCATATACTCTCCGTAATAAAGGGTGCTCAGGGCAAAGTCGCCGTCCCACGGCAACCATCCGGCCGGGTCAATTAGTCCTTCAATGTTACTCAAAAGGATAACCGTCCTGGAATACATTTTCCATGGCCGACCCAGATAATTTTTGAACGAGGACAAAACCGGGATTAAGTCCGCGGCGGCGGCGATTTTGCTGTTTATGATGGAAATCCCGGTGTTCTGATTCGGGTCTTCTCGTCCTTGGGCAGTGAATAGGTTCTGCTGGTTCGGGTTTGGTCTACGGGCGTACAGGTTGCATTGCTGGAAAACGACGGCGGAGTTGCCGAAGATGAAGTCGACCGTGCCGTAGACGTCGCATTCCCGAAAGAATTGCCGGAGGGAATGGACGTAGAGGGTGTCTTGGTAGGCGACGAAGCTGCATTGGTAGAAAACGGCGAGGTCCGCCCCGACCCGGACTGCGACGGCTTGGTGTTTACTTGGCCCGGCGTAGTTTTCAAATGTGATTCCTCTTGCTATGAATCCATCTCCCACCGCAGCTGCAATAACGGTTACTAGTTTAGTAAATGTTATTGTGTACAGTATAAAATATGAAATAGATATATTTTTTCTTTTTTTTTTCATGTAATTGGAAGTTTAAATTTTATTTTATTTTGGTGACAAAATGAGTAAAATTGAGATGAATCCGCTTGATTAAATTAGTGATTCAAACAAAGGTTAATGACTATCAATTCAACACAAACCAAATAGGGATATAAGGACACATTCTAATGGTCACCTAACTCTTTGTTCAAAACTAGCACAACAAATTTTGGTTTTGGCACTGTTGAACTCCCATCTCAAAACCAATGAACAATAATTAGAATGGTGTTTGACACTTATAAATAATATATAACAGATTCTTTCCGACACTGACATGGGATTTTTTGTCCCAACAGCCACAAACGACGCAATGAAAATCATCATGTTTATCGTAACGTTAACTGTTTTTAATTCATTTTATTTATTCATGTTAGTGCAAAATTGAATCACGCAAACACCCCCGTTTGTCAACGTCGGAGCCTAGTAGTACGGAGTACTTCGTAGCTGTAAGTCTGTAACACGTTTTCAGCTGTGTGACTCAAAATTCAACAATTATAATTATATAGTGAAGTGATTTCTAGGTTCCTCATTCTTCTCCACGACTCTTTTTTTTTTTTTTTTTTCTGGATTTGGGGGGTTTCGGGAAAATGGGAAAAGAATACCAGATCCATCTCTTTTTGTCTGGAATAATTTCAATGAAAAATGGAGCCACATGGAGAACATACACCATGTGATGTGAAATTGCCGCCCCCAATTGATGACTAGAAGTAGAAACAAAGACATTTGGCTAACGTAATCGTGTATGACGATGATTGTGCAAAGATTTCAGAAAAAAAGCATGTTATTTTTTCATTACGCGAATATATCTCTTTCTCCTTCTGAAATTTCTTTTGTAATAAATAAAACCAATTCACATATATTCTATCGGGAAAATGCAAATGATATTATAGACGTGACACTCTAAATCTCTAATGAATGGACACTATATCGCGGAAAAGATATTGCGTACGTACAAATGCCATGAACCCTTTTTTTCTTTAATAATTATTGAAACATGGAAAGAAGTGATATAATGGCTGACTACTCAAACTTTTCCTGATCTGGGCCATCACAATCACGCAAATGGACCCGAGGCCGTGACCCTATTTCAAAAAGACTTGGAAAAAAAAAACAAATCATGTACTCCATAATAACAAGGAATTTATTTAACAATGGACTTGCGATATTTGCAATGCAAAAGTTTTGTAAACATTTTTCCCAGTTATAGTCTTGGAAATGTGAAAACAAAATTTAAAAAATGGGGAAGTGAAGTAACGTTGCGGTGTTTTGGTTTTCAATGAGTAAAAAAAGTAATGCAACTTATTATTGGCAATGGTCTTCTCTTCCCTAGCTGTTCATGTTATACATATATATAATCATCTTCTGTAATTATCCCAATATGATAATGCCAATGTGGTACTATGTGTCATAATCCATCATCGATTTATTGAGTCAAATTCTATAATATTTTTACGTAGAAGAAAACGAAAAGGAAAACCCTTTTATAAAAGTTACACAGAGACAAAACACCCCACCATAAGGACAAGATTTCATGTGTTCAGTTCAGACAAATTAATCAAACCCCAATAAACATTTTCTAATCTGAATCTTAACTTATTAATTAATGGGATCATCTGCAAAGCTATTTTTTCCTTAAATTAGTAGTATTACAGGTGGAGGAGAGGCAACATCCTCTCCATCCTTAAATGGCAGTACTAGAAAAAAATAAGTAACATTTAATGAAAGAAAAAAAAAAAAAAACACACCCTTTGCAGGAAGGCATGAGGGCTGTCAGGATGTGACCCCAACAAAATAAAGCTAGCCGCCTACTATTTACTGTTCATAATATATCTACCCTTTAATAGTAGCCCAAAAACATTTGATATGATTTCTTTATCTTCATGATTTTTGTTGATAGAAAGGGAGTTATATTAAAAGTTACACACAAGATACAACAATACGACGTGGGTATGAAACCCTCAGACGTCGTGGTATAGCCAAGGCGGACCCGTGGCGATGGTAAATCCAGTCGCGTCAAATTTTCTGGATTTTCCACCGCCGTCAAAACTAAATAGTTCGCCACAAAATTATATTCTTTATGGGCATGGTTAAGATTAACAAACCAATTTCTATTAAAAAAGGCGTCTAATTACTTGTACTAGGTCTTCATGATTTTGCCCTAAAGGTCCCATGCAAAAAAAAAAAAAAAGAAAGATTACTGTTTGATACGCCATCTTCAATCGCTAATTTCCCGCGAATTTATTTCACTGTCAGTTTATCACCATTCAATCATACAATCTAAAATTCTAAATCATCTGTTAAATTTTGTCCAAGCACATTTAATTTAGTGTTGAATTTTTATTTTTTGGTGGAATTCAGTGTTGAATGGGTGTCATTAACAGTACTACAAATTCACTATGGATTTCTAAAATATTAAAGACTAATCTAATCAAGAATCCACTTTTTGCTAATTTTACTATGGGATAGGGCACTTTCAAAAAAAACTATGGGACAGGGTGAATAAGACAAACCTAAGCATCATTATCGAATAGTAAAATTCTAGTACTTTACGAAATTTAATCAATCAGTGCATGAACATAATAACAGTACGTAATGTTTCTTCCATTACAAAATCATTATCCAATTTAACTTTTTCATTTTTAATATAAATGAAATTAAAAGTGAAAAATTCAAACTTAATAATAATTTTGAAACAGACAGCAATAAATTGAAGTAATGAATACTTACCGACAGTAGCTGACCGGAAAGTCGTCCACCCGTCGACGACGCTCCGGTTACCCTTGATCAGAGTCTTTCCGATACCGTCGCCGAGCAGCATTATCATCGGCTTCCTCCTCACCACTTCAATGTACTCATAATACGCCCCGGCCTTAATGTAAATCACGTATCGGGTCGTGCTCGAGTTCGGGGCAGCCTGCAAAGCGTCATTAATGGTAGTGAAATTTCCGCTTCTGTCTTGAGCCACCGTCACGTTGAACTGGATCTGGTTCACCGGCGCCTGTAACAACCGCCTGTCTCTCCTTTTCAACCAAGTCGGAAACCCGTCTTTCACCGTCGCTCCGCCGGACCCCCACGGAAGGACGCCGTCCTCCTCTGCGGCGGAGCCGGGTTTCTTGATGGGTTTCGGCGGCTTGAATTTCTTCAGCATTGCCAGGGAATTGCTGACGTGGCGGGAAATCTTCCGGAGCCTTCCTTCGATGAACTTCCGGAGGTACTTCTTCTCGGAGAAGGCGAAGCCGTCGAGACAGGTGTACTGGTTCGTCATCGCGCCGCTGAAGAGGGTCTGCAAGTCCATGTAATGCTGGGCCGCGGTCTTGTTGGATGAGAGGTCCGACACGGCGGCCCGGAGCTGAAGCCTGGTGTCTTCCAGGAGCTCGAGGCAGTCGTCCAGGGCCCGCTGGTCCAGCGGGTCCAGGTTCTGGAACTTCTTCTTGATCCGGCTGCAGTTCTGGAACGAGTCCCTGACCTCGAACACCGTGGAGTTGACCAGCCCGGAAATTATCTCCGGGATCGTTCTTTTGCGGAGCTCCGGCAGCGTGGAAACCGTGGAAACGCACAGGTCCTTGTGGATCGTGTCCTCGCATGCTGACGTGGCAATCTGGATATGGTCCGGGTCGACTATTTCCGCCGTCGAGAAAAATGGCAGAAGAACTAGAGCTAAGAAAATCGACAGTTTCATTTTACTGTTCATCGTGATCAACATTTCAACTGAAATGTAATCTAAAAGAGAAAGAAAACGGATGGGGTTTTTTTTAGCAAGTGTGACCGACACAATACAACACAAAGTGTTAGTGTGTGTGTGCGTGTTGAATTTATGGATGTTTTTTTTTTTTCTTTTCTTTTCTGGGTGGAATTTAATTTTAAGGGAGGTTGGAGATCTACAAGATAGATCTCTTCTGATTAAATGCAGTAATGGGTTGTGTTTTAATTTCAATGAGTATTTATAAAGGCGATTTTTTTTTTTTTTTGGAGAGCTGGGTATAATGCCGTTGGAGTGCATAATACTTTATTACATTCAACTAGGGGATCTTGGATGAAAGAATTAATGCAAATTACGAGTTCCATCTGGTGAAGGCTGAATGTTTTTAAATTGAAAGTGTATCAAATATCAATGATATTTAGTCGTTACATCTTAGAACTGCTGTCCAAACTCGAACTTCAATCTTAAGATTAGACCGCGGCTAATGTGAAATTTGAACACATGAATTTGGTAAATTAAGTACTGATGAGAATACATTATAGTCAAAAGAAATGTCGGATTAGATTTTTATGGTGTTGTTTGGACAACCATGCAACAGCACGTAAATCCATGATACAGTCGCAAAGTGATTGGAAATTAAGGTGTATTATTAATATTATTAAGAAACAATTGTTGTAAATCTCACATCAATCGTTGTACAAAGTCGTAATCAAAAATTATTTGAGCACATAAAATACCAATTACTGGAAAAATTATAACCAAGCACCTGTCTGGATAATAAAGCAAGATAATAAAAATACAGTAGGCACGAGAAAAGTATGCATATTTAAGTTATCCACTCATTTCAACCATAATAAATAAATAAATATAAGAAGAAAAGGCACATTCACATATTACCACACAAAGTATTTCTTACTCCGTCTCAAAGAAGTAATATGCTTTGTTAAATTAAAATATTAAAATAATGTGAATTATTTTATCAAACGAATGAAATATTATCATGACTAAATTATTATTGCAGTTTCAAAACGGGAAAGTCTAAGTGTTTTTTTTTTAATTTATTTATTTTTATAATTAGCGGGAAAATTGGAGTAATTTACGTGGATTCCAAGGGCTTGAGATGCATGGTAATGAAAGTCTTCCAACACGGATCCATAAAATCTTGCACACGACATGTCGTGAAAACGGAAAACGACGATTCATTCCAGTCTTTGCTTGTAAACGAAGTCGAGAATATGAGTACCACACACCAGCCTTTTCCCGTCGGAATATTGGACCAATTGTTACGAACAAAGGGTAGGTGACGATAGAGAATGTGAATGAATTTAGACTGTCGAATGAAATGAGCAAGTGAAAAATGTGATTTGTTGATAATTAATAATACATTGTAACACGTACGATTGGGCAATGTTATCCGAAATGTTAAGATAGAAAATCTCATATTTTTGATTTACTAATTTGTTAGATTGTCAACAATATCTAAACCCCATACCAAAGGTCTGTTTTGCTTAACAAAGATTCGATCACAAAATGGAACTCAGAGTACGTTTTGGGACTTTTTCAATTCAAATCCATGGTTGACAGAGTGAATTTTAGACACCAGTTAGCATGATATACTAAAACCATAGCGGAATTATTTGTGAAGTCAATGTCAAACACTTCATTGTTACTACTTTTTATTTTTTTGAAAAGATTTCCCTGTTAATATTTAATAATATTATTTTCTTTCTTTCTAAAATTATGGTGTAGTTTGAGTTTTTAATTTTATTTTAATTTGTATTAAAAAATAAAAATTCAAATCGAACAATAATTTCGGAGCGAAAAAAATTAACATTTTATTATGCAGTAGGGAATAAGCTAATAGTACTTCCTAATCTATAATTTTCATTGAGCCCACGCATTTCGAGGTGACTGTTTGTCCAGTCCACGCGTTATTCTAAAATGCACGTTTGGCCCACTTTTGAAAATAATAGGGCCTTGGATATTTTGGCCCAAACCAAACACAGACTGTACGGAAGGTTTTTAGGTAATGCTAAGCGTAGCCCACTTAATATTAATTCATTAATATTCAACTCTTTAAGTATTTGTTTGAAAAAATAATGACAAATTGCCCCGCGAGAGAAAGAAAAATCTTGCCACCGCAAGTATGCATTTATTTTGCATTTTTTATTATATATATATTCATCAAATTTGGAAAAAAATAAATATAAAAAAAGAGTAAAAGTCACGCCCTCACTAAGCTAATAGCCGGTGGCGCTGCGCCTATCAGCTGTGAGTCACCCCACGGTAAACTGCGTATAGAGGGCAGGCGGCCAAATGGCCACTCGCCTATTTAACGTGGGCGGCCGATTGGCCGGCGCCTCTGTGTGCGGGTCGTCGTCGGACTGCCCACGGCCGGTAGGCACGGTGCCGCCTGCTGTTTGCGCAATGAGAGCATGACCTTCACCCTTTTTAATTTTTTTTTTTCCAAATCTAATGTAATTATTTGTTTTATCTCTTACTTTTTTTTAAAAAAATTAGATGTTATGTAATTATTTATTTTATTTATGTGATTAATTATATTTGTTTTTTATTACTTAATGTAATGCGTAATAATTTTTTTTGGTTATTTTTTTAATATTAATTAATTGAATAATTTTTTCGGTTAAGATAAAGTTAGTTTAGGCCAAGTTAAATATTCATTTATTTAGGTAAATTTAATTTGTTTTTGTTTTTTTAATTAATTTAGTTTGTTTGATGTTATCTAATTCTTATTTAGTAAGTAAATTATATTAGAAATTATAAAAGTTAAATTTAATAATTATTGAATTTAATAATAATTTCGCTAATGTTAAAATGATGTCTCTTTCATTAATAATAATGAAAAAGCGTAAAATAGTAATAAAGTGGGCTCCTCTAAGGATTAAGTGGGCTAAATTTAGTCCCTCACTTTGAGGAAAAACGACATGAAAAAACCTAAATCATCCTATCCATTGCCACATAATGTCCACTAGCGTGCATTCCCACGGGTTTGGGCTTTAGTTCCTGAATTGTTTTAAATTATACAAATGTTAATAGTACTTTTTGAGACATAAATAAAACATAAAGGAATAGATGATGCAAAAATATGTATATATTCATTTTTATATGTTTCTAAAATTATACTCCATCCGTTCCAAAATAAGTGTCGTTCTCACATTTCAATGCACTTTTTGTCCAAAGTTTTCAAAATTACCCTCGAAAGAAATAATACTATTGGTGGACATTTTTTTAGTGGGGTTGGTTGAAGATATTCAAGTAATTTTATTACCCTATTTAAGAGTTTCTTAAACTATGTGCAAAGTGTAGAATGACACTTATTTTGGAATGGAGGGAGTACGAATATAATTATGCCTAATGGTGCATCGGTTTTGTTAATATTAAATATCCAATCAAGGTTTTTTTTTAAATTTTTTTCTAGGAGACAAATCATAGTTGTAACATCTTTTAACTATAGGTAGAAACAAAGATTAGGGGAAAAAATCTTGAAACTTACTACTCATTATCGAACAACTGCATCACGTAAAATTTTCGAACATGCTGCTCAAGAAGATTTTAATCAGATATAAGAGCACTCATCATAAGATTGAAATATTTTGTTCTATCTTTTCACTTTTTCTCATGAAATACCTTTCAATTTGATATTATCCGTCTCCATATGAAAAATATCTTTATTTTCATAAAACTTATAAGATTTTCTTTCAGAACGACTAAAACCTTATATGTTAAACAAAAAAAAATTGAATACAAAGAGTCATTAAAAAAAAAAAAAATTAAACGGAACTAATCTCCTTGATGCTGCTTGTTCTCAAAATTTGTCACTTCCAATCAATCGAAGAAGAAGACGGGACTAGCAAACCACAAATTATGTTATACACCCCGTGTTTCGAAATTATTGTCTAGTTTGAATTTTTATTTTTTGTGCAAATTGAACTAAAAGTGAAAATCCAAACTGGATAATAATTTCAGGACGGAAGGAGTAGAACTTAAACTAAAATAAAGTTTGCTCGAGAAAAACATAAATCCGAAAGGCAAAGCAAATAGATTGAATTTGCTGGGATTTTGCTGAGTCTTCTACAATTTGATAATGATGAGGAGAGGAAGATACTGTTTGAGATATTATTTTTTTTTGGGGAGGAGGGGGGGGGGGGGGGGGGAACTGAATTTATTTGGTGAGAGTGAGTTTGACCAAGATTTTCGGAGGTTTTTCTTTTTATTTTAATTCGATGAAACGGTATCATAATTTTTAATGAAAATATGGATGGAGCAAATTTTAAAGTTTATAATAATTGGAATATTTGGGAAACGTGGATTATAAAAGGGGATAATGATTCCTCTCCCCCTCTCCCCCCCCCCTCCCCCCCTTTTTTTTTGGAAAAATGTAATACTTCCTTTTTTTTTGTTTTTTCCTTTATTCTTGGGGATTAAGGTGGGAGAATTTTAAGCACCTTGGAATTTTAGGAGAAACATGATTTTTGCTGTAATGGATGTTATTATAGATATTTGGAAAACATGGACTATAAAAAGGGATAATGATTCCTGTTTTGTTGTTTTTTTTTTTAAAAAAGATAATACTTCCCTTTTTTGTTTTTTCTTTATTCTTGAGGATTAAGGTGAGAGAATTTTAAGCAAACAGTGACACTTGGAATTTTAGGAGAAACATAGTTTTTGCTACAATGAGGGTTTATTATAGATATTTGGGAAACATGGATTATAAAAGAGGATAATGATTCTCATTTTTTTTTTTTTTCTGAAATAGATAATACTTCCCTTTTTTATTTTTTCTTTATTCTTGGGGATTAAGGTGGGAGAATTTTAAGTAAAGAGTGATACTTGGAATTTTAGAAGAAACATGGTTATAGCTAT